GATGGATAATTACTTCCACAAATACCGTGCTGAGTACCTAGCAAATTGTGCATCAGAAGAGAGTTATGCAACTCCAGTCCATCAGGTATATCATGCCCTTCATCTGAACCGTTTTCCCCCTTGATCCGTTAGTAGAAACCTCTACTTTAGTGATGTTGTTTTCTTGTTTCATATGGTGGCCACAGGCCGGCAATGATGACCTCACGTTGTTACAATGGATGCTGGTAGGAATTGTGACATTAGGCCTACCTCACTCACCCACCAGGGAGGTTGCTTAATGATCCTATCCATTGCTAGAAGAGGCTACGTCGTACTAGAGCGCTCCCTCAGTTCCGTGTAGGTTATGCCGATGGGAGCGATCCAGGTTTGCATCTATGGCCTTCATCCATCGTTGCTTCCAGAGTTTGTATCAGTATGTGTTGTTATTCAACTCCATTCTATAGTCAGTTTCGCTGATGCGTGTCATAGTCTTCTCTTGCCATTTTTATAATTTCTGCTATAAAATCTATAGGTAATGTCAGGTTTAGTCCCAAACTTAGATCTCTATTGCTCTGTTCGTAGACTCAGACTATCACCTGTATAAAGAACACACTGAATAGGCTTGGCCTATTCATGGTGCGAAATTTTAGAGTCACTTTCAAATGCAACTTGAATATAGAGGCAAAGATATGGCTAACCTAACAGAAATATATACATATTTATTTATCTGATGTGCTTTATTGATTTCGTTACAAGTTTGTATTCGCTCATGTGTGGCTGGTAATTGTAATTTGAAGGAATTACATACTTTAGCTCACAAAATTATTTGATTGCCTTGTTCGCATTTAATTCCAGTTGAGTTTATGGCTGTTACAACTTAGTGGTGGGTGGTCAGCAATCAATGACCAGTAGTAGTGGTTGGTGATGTCAATGTATGTGTTTTGTTGCCTTTCTCAGGCCTATTGGTTTTTCCCTTTCAAGTTTATTTGCTGCTTTGTTATCGATTCAATGTATGCCTGCCACTTAAAGTTAACATTCATAATAAATTTTCATTATTTCAAATTGTTTTGCAGGGGCATTTGCTGGATTGAAGCTATATGGAACCTCAGCGGCTAAAGCAAACATTAGCCTTATTTGAATGGTGGGTCCAGTTGTTCCAGGCTGCCGCTTGCCCTTGGTCAATAGATTTCAATCCTTTTTCATTATTATAGTTATATATAAAAAGTGATTTTTCATTACAATTCAATCCGTTCCGTTTACTGGTTCATACATATCCAAATCCGATCAGGATATTTGTTTCTTTTTCCTCTATATACGTTTTCCCTATTATGTTTCCTTTCTCTATGTCGGAATCGGTATCGTTTTGTCAAATCCTCTTCTGATTATGGGGCGCTCATAGCTGACCATATATTCATCTGAATACACAGGGCCGGAGCAGATTGAAATCGATTAGCAAAATCAATCGACCCGTATGATCCACACACAATCCAAACGTATCCGTCGGATGGCGGCGGGGCCTGATTCCGCCGGCAGTAACAGCCACATCCCTGATGACATACTCTTTTTTCAAATTCTCATACTACTCCCCGTGAAATGTCTTGTGCGCTTCCAGTCAGTATGCAAGAGTTGGCGCACAACTATACTCAGCACTTATTTTATCCGCTGCCACCTGGAGCATTCTAGGACTAGGTTATCAATGGTCGTCGTTCCCCGAAAGTACCAGAAGGACTATAGGAAAGTTGGCATTCAGGGTGTCAATTTCTACAGTTTCCAGCCTGGGCAAAGCAAGGTTGCCGAGCTCATCCTAGGGAAAAGGTGTCCAGGTGGAATCCCGATGTTCACCATTCCTTTGCATTGTGATGGACTCATTCTGATCCCTTGCTTGACGGGACGGATGTTTGTGTGTAACCCGGCAACCAGGGAGTTTGTTGAATTGCCACAAGGAAGCCATAATGTTGCCGGGGATCACAGGGTCGCTTTTGGTGTCGACCCTTGTACTGGCAAGTATAAGGTCGCTAGGCACTTCTTCCGCTCATATGCCGATACCCCACAAGCAGATGGGGAAGGCACAGTTCTGGAATATAGCGCTGGGCATGAGATCTTGACCATTGGTGATGAAGCAGATGCTTGGAAATGGAAGGCCACCGTGGACCCACCGTATGCTATCAATGCCAGGACTCCGATTTGTGTACCCGGGTTCTTCTATTGGAGCGCTCTCCACTCCGTCACCGGACATGGCATTAATAAGGTCAGTTCACATGTCATCCTTCGGTTTAGTTTGCACGATGAAACGTTCACCGTACATCCCAACCCACCATGCAGTGGGTTTCTACGCAACAATGACACGCTGTGCCAGCTTGGTGGCAAGCTATGCTATGTCGAGTGTTCCTCGCCGTGGGATGTGGAAATTTGGTTGGCAGAGGATGGTCCAAACCTTGCTTGGCTGCGGCATTGCTGCATCCGCCTGCCGATGCCAAGGCTGCTGAACGTTTTTGCCTGTGCTTCGGGCGATAGAAACAAGATATTCCTGTCCATTGACGCCTTTCGCCTTTTGAGATGTGATCTGCGTGATGGATCTCTTGAGGAAATAATCGACATGGCACGGGAGTTGTTGTATGACCATCGGAATGGAACCAAATTCCGCACTGGTTTCGTCCCTGTTGCCCATTACATGGTCCCCTGTGTGGAATCGCTTTTGCGTATTAGACCATGGTAATAATGAGCGGGCAGATATTGTATGGGATCAATAATAGCTCTAAGCTCAGATGCACCTTGGTGCCCTTTTTTTTGTGTTTTTGTGTGTGCGTGTGTGTGCACGCGCAAGTCTTTATAAGCTGAGTTTGTAAGAACACTATTATTAATCTATGATTTACTTATGTTGATTCTTGTACCGACATTCCATTTCTTTGCATTCAGTGTCATCAGATTATCATGTTTTTACTTGTGACAGCCCTTGTGGAGAAATGGTGGACCAAAATTAGTCCGCAATGCAAGGTACCTCAGTCTCATTTCTTATGGCTCTAAACCACTGGTTTATACTCACGTTGTTGATGCAAACAATGCACACGTGCCATTTGGTATTATCATTCCAATCACTTGCAAATATAATTGCGAAGAAAAACAATCAAACCTACTTGATACCCTTGCTAATACCCTGCTCTGCGCAGTTAAATTGTGTTTACTACCCAAGTATAGGATGCTGGATTTCCGAAACAAGTTGTGTTGGCAATTTGATTGGCTGCAATTGCAAAGCGACGGAGTAGTTGATATGATACCCTGAACTCCATGCACCGCATGTTTTGTTGCAATATACTCGCCCAAGGATCTGGAATTTGTTTAGAGCTACAGTCCTATAGTGTTTGGAATGGTGGAATGAAGAAATATGACATGAATATATACTGTACGTGCTAGGCCATCTAGTCATCGTATCCGACTCTTCCGTCCTCGTCGGCCTCGTATCCGACTCTTCCGTCCTCGTCGGCCATCCACGTCGATCTCCATCTTCCTCTTTTCGTTTGGATCTCGGTAGCGATGTCTGAACACCGATCGAGAACGCATATGGGCAGCCTGAGCAAAAGGGGAACAGGCCCGGGCATCTGGGTTGTTTCTTGCTCGGGGCTCTCCTGCCCACTGTGTCCTCCGGTTGGAGTGCGCTGGTGTAGCGTAACGAGCATCAAGCATGTCGAGCTTGGGGTTTGGGAATGGGCACGTCACCTTACCTCCGGACGGTGATCGTCACCTTACCTCCTGGATCTCTTCCGCGAGAGATTCCGGAACGGCGAGGCACCTGCTGAAGCTGAACCACACCCTCATCGTCTCGAGGGCTGCAGGGCCATGCACCCGCACTGCTACCTCTTCGAGGTCAGGTAGCCAACGTCAGCGCCGCCACTCCGTTTCCTCAGCAAAGGCTACCTCGAGATCGTCTGGACCAAGCTCTCCCTCCAGCAACGCGTGCTCGAGCTCGGCTACAACTACCTCTTCACGGTACTAGCTACTACTATGCCGGCCGGCGGCCGCCTGCCACAAATTAGAAACAAATTAAACCAGCAGCCCTGAATACAACCTCTCGATTCTCTCGAAATGCGCGCGTGTCATGATTTACACATACTGATACTACGCCTTGTTTAGATGCCATCCAAATTCAAGTTTTTTCACTCTCTTCCCATTACATCAATTTTTAGCCGCTTGTATGGAGTATTAAATGTAGGTAAAAAAATAACTAATTACACAGTTTAGTTGGAAATCACGAGATGAATCTTTTGAGCCTAGTTGGTCTACGATTAAACAATATTTATTAAATAAGATAAAAATAGTACTATTCATCGGGGGTCACTTTTTTTTTCAAAGTGAACCGAGGCCCTAGTGCATTTGAGTACACATCCCTGTGGACGTACGGCGCTGGTTGCACTCGCGCGTCAAACCGTGGCGTGGACGGAGCACTCTCGTCTTATTGGCTTCCTTTACACAACAAGTCCACGTACGACCTGACCAAAGCAAAGCCCAGCGTTTAACCTGACCAAAGCAAAGCCCGGCGTTTAAGGGGCTATTTAGTTCTCAAAATTTTTTGCGCAGTACCCATCACATCGAATCTTGCGATACATGTATGGAATACTAAATGTAGACGAAAAAAAAACTAATTGCACAGTTGAGTGAGAAATCGCGAGACGAATCTTTAGAACCTAATTAGTCCATAATTAGACACTAATTGTCAAATACAAACGAAAGTACTACAGTAGTCAAAACCTAAATTTTTTTTGCATCTAAACACGCCCTAAATAGACACGTCCATGGAACAGTAGCCCAGCAAAGACATGGCCATGGGGTTGGGGTTTCGGATGAGCAAAGAGGCGGCGGGCAGCCACGCGGTGTCGTTCTTCCTCGGTGCGGCGCTGCCCACGGTCCTTCTCTTCTTCCTCGCGTCCGACCGGCTCGGCGAGGGCTTGTCTAGCATCTCGCACAGCTGGGGGAACGGGCCGGCGGGCGACGACGATGCAAATGAGGTAACGCGCACGTAAATGTGTTCATGAGCCATGCTGTCTGCTGCAGTCTTCTGCTTGTAGTGTGCTTGTAAGCTTGCTATAATTATGCAGGCATCGCCCAAAACTCTTCACCCAAATTGTATGCATGGTTGTACGTGCACCTGCCAATCTATCAATCAGGCCCCATTTGTCAACACCAAGTAGCAGCCCAGTTCTTCTATCAATGATGAGATATATGCGACCCATCTGATCCTTTGGAGGAAATGAGTACTCAAGAATCAAACTCTCACTAGTAGCGGCAGAACCCAAGCAATTGTTCATAATAGGCCCCAGTTGTGCAGCACGGTCGCGATCCCACTGTTTGATATAGGTGACTAAATAACTGTAAATAATGGGCCAAAAGTTCAGAGAACTGCTTGTCCTGAATCCGGAAACTGTTGTTGGGACTTGTACCACTGCCAGAAGCCTCAAAACAGGAGCCCTTAGCAGCACAAATGAATTAACTGGACCTGTCTCAATAGGCTCACTTGCAATGCTATTATGAAGATTTGCAGGAGGTGGCCATGGCTTCATAGCAACGTGTGTTACTTCAACAACTGTTTTCTCATGCAGCAACAAACTTTTAGCCATCCATCTTGCAAAGCAAACAGGCAATAAGGGAGCATCTTCAGCACTTCCACTCAACAGGAGCAATAGAAAATTAGAAGCCCATTGGGACAGCAAATGTAACAGTCTGATAAGGTGAACCAATCCATAAAAAATGCAACAGGGACTGAAGGAATGGAGCACATCAAGTTCAGATTGAACAATAGCTGATAAATGCAGGAAACCACCCTTGAAATCCTTGTCTCGAGTAGCTCAAAATCAACCAGCAGTCTAACTTTGGCATTGACAGATCCAAACTCAGCTGCAGAATACCAGAATGATTGCCATGGTATTGGTTGTAGGTCAACACTAACATGCATCTCCAGCACCGGCGCAGGCTGCCTGGCCATGCATCTTTCCAGAGACAACCACAGCACCCCATACTGTTTGCACCTCCAGTGTCAATACAGCCAACGCACGAGCCGGGGCGAGCGCAGCCCACGAAGAATGGCACATGTACACTCAGCTCCCAATCCAAAAGCTTGCCATCAATGTGACGAGTCTGCTGGACACGCGTGCTTAGCAGCAACACCACAGTGGAGATCTTCCATGAACAATCCTCAAAAAGCTGAGCTGATGCGAGGTACCCAGGACAGGTGGTGGGTGAGTTGGTGAAAATACCAGCAGGGTCGAAGTAAACCTTCTGTAGTGCGGCCATGGAGGTTGGTGATGATGTTGGCACAGCTTCGACAGCGTGCGTTAACGCCAGAAGGCTGATGTTGGCGCCCAGGCAATCTGTCGAACACTTGACAGGCGCGGCTATGGCGATGTCATGGAGGTCGTGCAAAGCGTAGCGGAGTTGGCCTTCGCCTGGAGGGATGCGGCGGCGTTGCGCGACGTCGCGCGGTGGATTTGGAAGATGTCCTTCCGCATCTCGAAGTCGGCGGGCAGCGGAACGAAACGCAGGTGCGCGCTGGTGTAGCAGAGTAGCCTGTCGCCGTGGAGAACCGAGTCGCGCGGGTAGAGCTGCGCGACCAGGTAGCGGCCGCGGCGGCGCGGGTCGGGGTCGAGGATGAGGCCGACGCTTCCGCTGATGGCGTGCGCGCTGCAGAGGTACATGTCGTCGGGGTCGTTGCGCCCGGCGTGGTTGCCGCGGCCCAACGCGTCGAAGCGGAACCGGGGCACGCGGTCGAGCGCGGCAGGCCCGCGCGAGTGGAGCAGGCGACGGTGATTGAACTCGTTGTTGACGAAGGTGATCTCAAAGCCCCGCGCGTGGCCGAGGCGGAAGGTGTACTCCCCCGGGGACGGGTCCCCCGTGGCGCGCCACGAGGACATGTGCCGGTCCAGCCCCGTGCGGAAGTCCACGCCCAGCTTCATGCCGGGGAGGAGCATGTTGGTGGGGTGGTCGAAGCTCTGCCACACCACGCCAGCGCCGGGGACCCGCAGCACGAGGTTGCCGTTCGCCAGGAGCCGCGCGATGGCGTTGGCGCGGCTCGCTGTGGGCGGCGGCGGCTGCTGCTGGTCGTGGTCGGTGTCCTTCATGATAGATTTCTAGATCACCTGGGCGGATCAGTGGGGTTTTTCTCTACAGGTAGTTCGTCCTAGAGAGAATTAGATGAAGAGAGAGGGATGTAGAGAGGTAGACTATGGGTGGGCTTGATCGGATGAGCAAGCCATGACGTAGGTGTTGATGACGCGGGTGTTGACGTAGGGTAGCAGTGGAGTTCGGCGGTGGTGTCGAAGGCGTAGTGGAGGCGTGGTCCAGTGGCGACGGCGAAAAGCGGTGGAGCTTCCCGTCGCTCACAGCGCGTCCTCTCGATCGGACTAGGCTTAGGATGTCGGTGGGAACTGGCGGCCGTGGTGAACCTCGTGTCTCGAGCACCAGCCCCCACCTCCTATTCATAGCGCTGCATGACGGGGCCCACCAGCCAGGAGAACGGCTAGGCGCCCCCGATCATGGCGTGAGTTAGGGTCCGACTCGGTCGTTGGACCGAGCCGGGTGGTGATCAATCTAACACTTCAGCGTCCCCGAGCTCCTGGATCTGGCGCTTGTACTCCTGCTTCTGCTGCGGAGGCACGAACGGCGGGTCCAGCGTCACGGGAGGAGACGGAGTCGCTGGTGCGGTCATGACCGAGGCGGAGATGCGTGGCGGAATGGTGTCGAGGCCGAAGACCTCACATCCGCGCTCTATGGGGAGCGACGCCGGCGTGAGCATCAGGCACTGCTCGGCTTGGCTACCTGGGAGCTGTGCGGAGAGGTGGGCGGCGATGTAGTCGTCATCCCAGTCAAAGAGACCTCCCCAGTTGTCAGCCACCACTGGTGCATCGGTATCCGTGGCGATGGAGTCGTCGTCTCCACCGAAGAGACCGCCCCAGTTGTCGGCGACGACAGCGGCTCCGACGGCCGCAGCCTAGGTCGAAGCGGAAACGACCCGAGAGATCTCGTGCGCGGCCCGGGTGTCGGAGAAGCGGCGCTCCCACCGAGCGTCGAAGTCGTCGAACAGCTTACAGTCGTGGGGACTCATGGTGATAGATACCGAGAATCGACTGTCTCTGATACCAATTGTAAGCAGCACACGATCTAGAGGATGAACTCAGATCACCCAACTCCATAACAATCAGCACACAGGTAATAAGATCCCGTACAATATGAGATGGAACCGGGGGAAGGCAGCAAGTAGGGGAATCGGAGTGAGGAGGAAGATACTAGAGGGTTCTAGAAGATACTGGAAGTAGAGAATCCAGGTACAAGAGTAAGAGGCTTGAGGAGGAAGATGAACAGTAACTAGAGGGAGATAGATTCTGTTTCAGGTAATTTGTTCGATGCCTCCCTGCTGCTTCGCCGATGCTCTCTTGTAGAATTGTTCCTCAATTACGTAGGCTGCTGACATCCCCAGTAGGCCACTTGGCCCATGGCCTGATGCCGGCCCATAGCATGGATGGTTCCTGACAAACCTGGATTGGTTCTTGGATCTGGAATGAGCTAACCGAACGAGCCTTTAGCGAAAACCTATGTGTGTATAATATGTCAAAAATTACTCTCACGGGTGAAAATTTTGAAATTTCAACTCTGAGTGGCAAATAAATTATGTCGTGGAAATAAACGTTGTCATCAAGTCTTTGTTGTGGGAGACTAATCATCCAAGCAGCCTGTTTTGTAAGTTGATAAACTCACACGTCAAATCCTGGGATTTTCTTCTTTGTACTATACAAACCATTTTTCACACTTTTTCAGGGTAGTCCAAAGGTGAAGCTTCAGCTAGCAAATATTCTTCGAAACTACTGCCTGGATCGTTGACAACTAGAGCCGGACTGCCTGGATCGTTGAAACAACATATAGCAATCCGGCAACCTTCGCCTGCGCCGGCCGGTCTACGTTTATTACACCAGCTGGGCACGAGGAAAAAACGCACATCCGTGCGGACGTACGCCGCTGATTGCACTCTTGCGTCAAACCGTGGCGTGGCATGGCGGAGCACTCGATCGTCTTATTGGCTTCCTTGACACAACAAGTCCACGCACGACCTGACCAAAGCAAAGCCCGGCGTTTAAGTAGACACGTCCATATGGAACAGTAGCCCAGCAAAGACATGGCCATGGGGCTGGGGTTTCGGATGAGCAAGGAGGCGGCGGGCAGCCACGCGGTGTCGTTCTTCCTCGGCGCGGCGCTGCCCACTGCCCTCCTCTTCTTCCTCGCGTCCGACCGCCTCGGCGAGGGCTTGTCCAGCATCTCGCGCAGCTGGGGGAACGGGCCGGCGGGCGGCGACGATGCAAATGAGGTAACGCGCACGTAAATGTGTTCATGAGCCATGCTGTCTGCTGTAGTCTTCTGCTTGTAGTGTGCTTGTAAGCTTGCTATAATTATCCAGGCATCGCCCAAAACTCTTCACCCAAATTGTATGCATGGTTGTACGTGCACCTGCCAATCTAACGGAGACTTTAACCTTTATTAAGCGTGACGATCATGCACAGGTCATGTTCAAGGGCCTAGCCGAGCTGCTACCGAGGGTTGCCATGGACGACAGGACGGTGATCATCACATCACGTCTGTGAACGAGGCATGGGCGCAGCCGTTTGCTCCCTGCTGGACCTCTACCTCGACAGCTTCAAGAACGGCGAGGACACCGCACACCTCCTCGTTGTCGCCCTCGACGCCCGCGGGTTCCACCGCTGCAAGGCCGTGCACCCTCACCAGGGGCAAAGGTATGTAGATGCTAATGGGTGCAAATGCACCACCTAAAATTTGCGAAAACAATAGATTTTTCTAAAATTTCACCATGTTTGCACCCCCTAATCCCCTATAGTACAAATCTATGCATCCATAAGTTAAGTGCACCATCCTCTAATTTGCTCTAGCTTCGCTACGGGCCCTCACTGCTACCTCCTCAGCGCCACGTCCGTGGACATGAGCTCCGCCAAGGCGTTCATGAGCCGGGACTACCTGGAGCTCGTTTGGACCAAGCTCGTCTTCCAGCAGCGCGTGCCGGAGCTCGGCTACAACTTCCTCTTCACGGCAAGATCATTCTTCACCAAGACTCGTAATTTCTTCGATAATTATCTTTAACCAACAATCTTATTTATGATTGATAAAGTACTACCACACTGACTGGTCTGCAGGACTGCGACATGGTATTGTTTCGCAACCCGTTCCGACACTTCCCCGAGTACGCCGACATGAGCTGCTCGTCCGACGACTTCAAGCCGTCTCGCGCGCCGCTGGACAACCCGCTCAACACCGGCCTCTACTACATGAAGTCGACGAACCGGACCATCGAGATGATGAAGTACTGGCGGTGTTCGTCAACATCAGGCACGAGCTTGTCGGCAAGCTGCATGTCAAGATCGAGCCGCTGGACACGGTGTACTACACGGCGGGTTCTGCGAGTACCACGACGATCCGGAGAAGGTCTGCACCATCCACGCCGACTGCTGCGTTGGGGTGGACAACAAGGTGCACGATCTCAAGGACTTTGCCGCGGACTGGAAGAACTACACGAGTCTGGCACCAGAGGCGAGGCAGAAGGGTGTTTTCAAGTGGACATACCCGACTAGGTGCCGGGATTCCGTTGGCGTAAGCCTTGAAAAGCGCAATCTCAAGTGGATAACACGAGCCTTTATAAACGCGTGTCCACCTCTATCAATACTACTACCGCATACAATATTTCTATGGACGGCTACAGATAGGTTCGTAAGGGGCGGTGGGCCACCCGGTCCTACACATCCGTCTCTAGAAATTAATGGTTTTAAAATGAATTCAAATGAAAAAGGTTGTGGACTACAAAGTTAATGATGCTATTTATACTTTAATTTCTTGTTTTCCCTCCATATTAATTAGTTCTTTCTATTACTCTTTTATCTCTTTTGTTTCTTTTACTATTGTCTACCAAACATTTTGGGATGCAAGGCTTCTACGAACCCGCAAATAAGCTTAATTTTGCGGGTCATGCGTGTAACTTATAAAATTAAGCCTATTTATGGATTCGTGGGCCTTGCATCCCTACAAACATCTAGTTCGTCCCCACCGTACACCCTCTAATTGACTAGTTAATATGCTTGTTTTCTCTCTCTAAATTGCTCTCTAATGGCATCTACATTATTCAGAATTGTTATTTTTCTATTATCTTCTTATTCTTGTTATTATACCATGATTCTTTTTCTGACATAAGAATTTAATTGATTAGGTAAAGACTAGAGACTAAGGCTATATTCTCTTTCTTTTTCTCCATAATAATTGATGTTTTTAAATTTTTTAGCTTTCTTTTGTATGTAACATAAATGTTTATTTAGTTGTTATGTATACTCTTGCTGTGCATGTATTTAACACCCCTATGTCTAAATCTTGGCTCCGCCCTGTCTCCAAGTACAACAATGTTGCACGCACGCACGGAGTGGTGAGAGGTGTGCAAAACCTCACTAAACATTAGGCCTAAACTTAAGAGGAAGCGCAATGTCGCCGCAGAATTTCGGTCAATGCGCAGAACACATGACAAGCCTGGGAGATCTGCTTAACTCCAATGCAGGTCTTGTCGATTTTAAGACAGTCAATTTGATATGTAATTAACAAGCGAAAATAGTCAGTAGTTTAAGGTGGAACATGTCAGCTATTGATCCAGACAGTTCCATGATCAGCTAAAGAACTGATAGAGCAAGTTATCGGCTATGAAGCCGATACTTAGCACTTTTTTGAATAAAACAGTTTAAATGAACACCATCGGCTAGAGAGCCGATGACAGCAGAATATATCCATATTTAAATAAATAAAACTGTCAACTTAAAACATCCAATGGATATATCATGAGAATAAACATGAAAGCACAAGTCATCGACTATAGATCCGATGAGTCATAGAGTGTAAACAATCCTCTGTTTTCCTTATAAAGAAATCCAAAAACTAACAAATCTAATCTAACGTCACCACCAATCAGGTCGAAGCGATGCAGGGTTGGCAGCATGGTGATAAATTAAAGATTGCTAGCCGACAGATCTATTTATAGTAAAACAGAATATTGAAAACACACTATTGGTATTGGATGACTAAGATT